GCAGTGTAACAGTGAACTGAAAACATGGTGAGTAAACCCAATAAACCCAACATTCCTTACCTACGAATGGGACTTTAGACACTGACACATGCCTGCTACATAGATGCTGTCGTCCAGGTAACAAAAGGCTAGAATGGAAAGTTGATGAGTGATTTGGAGGGAATGCAGTATGTATCCATTAGGGCCATCCTTCAGCGGTAACAGAATGTGCTGGTTAACCCTCGCCGGACCTATTGGTTTTCTACATACGCGCCGGCCGAGGGGGGGGGGGCGGGTACGACCCCCCCCTCGCCGTTTTGCCCCTGGTGGAGCTAGCGCGTCGCGGAAAAAAAAAACGAGCGTGTGCGCCGTTACGAGACGCAGAGACTGGTACCCGATTTTAAGGTCCTAGGTCAACCGGTGACCTCTGAGGTCAGGTCAAGTGCCTCAGGGTACGGTTCAGTTTTTGGTGAATAACTTCGCAAAAAAAAAACGGCCGCAGAGCCGCGATTTTGGCAGCATCGTGTTTGCCTCGCTCATGCGCGTCGAATGATATACTTTTTGTTCGGGTCAGGTCAACTTGGGGTGTTGACCTCAGGTCAAGGTCAGGTCAGCACCCCCAGGTCACGAAGTTGGTCGAAAGAGGTCATGTCGCATATCATTCGATTCGGCAGGTCTTCCTGAGTCTATTGGTGGTTTTCTCGACTCGCTAGCTCAATTTGATCGGGAGTTATTGACGAAAAACTAAGATGACCTTGATGACGTCATAAATGACGTCACGCAAGGTCAACATTGCAAAAGTGACGCATCTAACCTTGCAAGGAGTGCATCAAATCACGATTCTGTGTGCTTGAGATAGTTGGAGATCGTTTCCGGCGCCAGAATAGCAGTTTTCATTTTTCCCCATTGACTTATAATGGTGAGGTCACGAAAATGACCTGACCTCATATGACCTTTAGGAAAAATCCGAGATATACAAGTTGTAAGACTCATAATGGATACTAGATCCTGCAAGTTTCATTTCCCTGTGACATCTCCTCTGGCAGTGAGGGCGTTGCGAAGTTGCGACATCTGAAGACCGTGCAGAGGTTCACTTATGACGTCATAGGTCAGTGACCTGACTTGACCCAAAAATGCAGTTGGTGTCAAAAGATGCGGCTTGGATCAAAGGTCAGGTATGCAAAGTTTCAGCTCTCTATCGCCAGCGTGTTTGGAGCTATCGCGAAAAAAACTCTATGGGGGGGGGGGCGGCACTCGCCCCCCCCCCCCCACCCTCTCGGCCGGCGAGGGTTAAGGTACGACTGACAATGTGACCGACCGGAGGCCGAACGAATAAATACGTTCGGTATTTATTCGCCTATTTTAACAAAACTGCTAACGCCAAATCAACAGGCATCTCCGTGATAGTAACATTTTTCAAAAAGTGTTCTCAAAGCAGAATATGCAGTGTGTCCCGTCTCCTCTCTCTCTCTCTCTCTCTCTCTCTCTCTCTCTCTCTCTCTCTCTCTCTCTCTCTCTCTCTCTCTCTCTCTCTCTCTCTCTCTCTCTCTTTCTCTCTCTCTCTCTCTCTCTCTCTCTCTCTCTCTCTCTCTCTCTCTCTCGTGTTCGGTTCACCTTCTTGTCCTCTCGTCCTCACGCTGCTGTTTCTCTCCTCTAATTTCGACACACCTCCTCATGCCTTATTCATCTGTTCTGACCTTCTACAAGCGTACCCTATATGTAAATACCAGAGCACGTTTCAGGAAGAGTACCCAAGGCCCTGCCACTACAGTGCTTACTTGACGGTATTTAGACGTAATTTGTGACAGCTCACGCTGAGATTCGAGGTCGTTTTGTGGTAGAACTGCACCTGACATTTAGGATACTTATTTGGACGTTCATGCAGCTCCACCAAATAACCGGTTCAACTGCGGTGTAGCAGAAATGCTCGCTGCAACAGCCGCTGTAGTGTGCAGATTTGAGGCAGCGACGGTCGGCTCACACAACGCGGGACGTCTTGTCCGGGAAAATTGTATGATGCACAATCTTTGGTACGGCATACCAATTTAGGTGTCGAAGCATAAACTGTTTGCACGTAGCCAGGATTTTGCTCAGTGAGGGGCCAGAGGTCGCGGCCTAGTGTCGTACCCCTCCAAGGGAGTGGTGCACCTAATTATCTTTATTTTTATCTAATTTTATTGTCTTTTTCGCCTTCAGGGGGGGGGGGGGAGGGCATTGCCGCCGTGGCCCCTCCTTGGCTACATCCCTGTTTGACGGAATGCTACATGCGTTTCGGAATTCCGTCAGACTAAAGGCCGCCGTCCACTATGCGGAGCGCTTGCGGTCCGTACGGAATTTAACACAGAGCCCTAGGGGCGGGCGCATGCGATCTCCGTGCGGAGTCCGTCAGGAATGTCTCCGCATTCGAGCAGCAAACGGAGAGCTCACGCGCACTCGATATCAGTTGTTACAAAAAGAAAATATGGCCATTGCCTAGCATCACAAGATGGTGCCATGCCAAGGAAATAATATTCATTTACTTTGTCTTGAAAGAGTAGAAATTCAATCTTAACCCTCGCCGGCACAGGCCATTTTGCGTCCTTCGACGGCACAAGGGGGGGGGGGGTTGGTACGACCCCCCTCGCGTTTGGCCCCTGATCGAGCTAGAGCTTCGCGGAAAAAACGAGCGTGTTGCCCGTCACGAGACGAAGTCGATGATACCCAATTTTAAGGTCCTAGGTCATCGGGTGACCTTCCAGATCAGGTCAATGACCCGAAAACCGGGAAAATCGGGACCTGTTAGAAAGTCGTAAATTGTGGCTGTTATGTGGTTTTCCGGGGTGCTGATCACGAATATCGTGTTAGTTTTGATCAGAGATGATGTCTTTAAGCATTTAGACCAGGTCGGGTCAGGTCAGGTCAGGTCAACCGGTAGGGGTTGTGACGGGTATTCGTAATACGTGTCAACCGCCTCTGACAGCTTCGTAACATGTTACGAAGGCACCAAAACTACTTCGTAAATGTTCAAATGGTTGCCAAATTCGAATTCAGCTCCAAAAACTAGCCTAGAAACATGTAAAACTCGAAAAAGTGAACCGAGGTCACCCGAGGTCTCCAAAGGTCAATGACCTGACCTGACCTTCAGGTAACCTTGACACCCACCCTAATGTATGGGAGCGACATCAAATCACATGTTTGAACGTTTGAAACCACAAAAAGCTTGCAAACGCGCGGCTAATGTTAGCCGGCATACGTCGAATCGCGATTCCGGCCAAACATGGTCTCGGAAAAGAGGTCACAGGTCAAAGGTCATTGGGGTCAGGGTCATGAAATTTTCAGGGTAGGTGTAAAATCGATCAATGCGAGGGTACTGAAAGTTTCGTCGCGATCGGCCGCTTTTTACGCGAGTTATTCGCGAAAAACCTTAGGGGAGGTTGCATCAACCTCCCCCCCCTGTGCCGGCGAGGGTTAAATTTCCAATTGAAAACTCGAAGACGGGCGACGGCCCATATCCGCATCCATTCCGTCTGCGTTCTCCGCACACAGTTCAACACGTCGTACTTTGGTACTTCGTATCTGCGACAATCACTTCGGATGTCAATTGCTATAAAAAAGTTCGTTTTTTCTAAGTTCGACCCTCACTGTAAACATCTTTTTGAACAAAGCACGAGAATTGCTAGCTGAATTACTTAGAAAACTGGTTAGCGCACATTGTACTGGAGATATGAATAATATTTTCCAAATAAGCTTTAACACCAATGATATACACTTCTATTAAACGCCGTGCGATTTATTGATTAGTTCAATTACAATTTCTGACAAGTTGTCTTTCCCTGTGGGGTTGTATGTATATATGGGCAAATACGAGCTGGGAGTCTGGGAAATAAGAGCCATGAAGAAGTAATTTTGAATAAAATTAATCGTCTGTGAAATCAATGTGCGCCAGTCAGTTTTCTAAGTAATTCGTCTAGCAATTCTCGTGCTGTGTTCAAAGAGATGATTACAGTGAGGGTCGAACTTAGAAAAAACGAACTATAACCCGATTTCGAATTTAGCTCAAGGGAGGTCACGCGCGACTTGCATAACGTGACTTCCGAGTCGGGACTGGAAAGTGAGGGCGTTGCGAAGCTGCGACATCTGAAGACCGTGCAGAGGTTCACTTATGACGTCATAGGTCAGTGACCTGACCTAACCTAAAAATGCGGTTGGTGTCAAAAGATCCGGCTTAAATCAAAGTTCAGGTATGCCAAGTTTCAGCTCTCTATCGCCAGCGTGTTCGGAGCTATCGCGAAAAAACCCTATGGGGGGGGGGGCGGCACCCGCCCCCCCCTCTCGGCCGGCGAGGGTTAATTAGGCATGTGACCGTATGAACTCTTCAGCACGGCGAGTGTTCTATAAATGTTTTTAGAATTAACCCGCGCCCTGGTGGGGTCTGTTTATAACGCGACCTGGTGGGGGGGGGGGCTATTTTTTGCCCCCCCTCGTATCTCCGAAACTACTGGACGGATCCGCAAAATTCAAACGGCGTTCGAAAGGCCTGTCAAATTTGTCGAGGAAAACCAAATTTCATTGACCTCGGGGTCACCGATGACGTCACAGGTCAGGTCAAAGATGAAATGTTTCACCGTTCACGGGTCTTCTAGGGAATGCGCTCTAACACCGAGGAAAACGCATTTTGTCGAGAATCAGCGATAGGGCGTCAGTTGCCTAGTAGATATATTACTATTAGAGGTCACTGACAATACCAGGTCAGGTCACAGGTCAGGTCACCAAGGGTCACAGGTCAGGTCACATGAGCCCAACTTTACTAAGGTTGTGTGATGCATGTTTTATGGCCAATTTTTCATTTCCAACTCAATGGTATTGGTTATAAGACTATCAGGTACGGCTTAGGTCACTTTCTGGTGAAGTTCAGGTCAAGGTCAGGTCAAGGTCAGGCCAAAAAAGGTCAAATTTTAAAGTTGATAGTTTTGCATAAAATGGGTATTGATTCGATGCAGCTCGTCACGGGGAGTCTAATGGTGGTCTTTGTTTTGCGCTACGGGGTCTAGAATTGCTAAAAATTGAGTTTGAAAATTTGACGTCATCAATTTTGAACAGTTTTTTCGCTATAACTTCGCCAAAAAAAGAGGTATCGATCTCAAATTTGGTATGTGGATGGAAGGCGGTAAGGACTATCACATATATTCCGGTTGTTGCAAAATTCAAAAAATTTTTTGGATTTTTCGATTATTATATGCAAAAAATTTATTTTTTGATTTTTGGGGGTCAAAATCCAAAAATTTCAAAAATCCGAGATAGCAGTTTTGTAGCCCTGTTGATTCTACAGCTTTTATGTCTTAATCATTTTTCTGTATTTGCAAAGCTATAGGCCTGACAGCTCTTCCCGCGAAACCCTTTTTTGGGTCGAAAACGGCAGAACATGACGTCACTCTGACGTCATTTCCGGCCAACCTATCATAGCCTTTGGAAAAATTTTTGGTCACAATGTGTAAAATTGATGTCCGGGAGGGTACTGAAAGTTTGGTGACGATCGGCGCAGCGGTTCTGGAGATATATCAAAAAGTCTGGAGGGGGGGCAAAAAATAGCCCCCCCCCCCCACCAGGGCGCGGGTTAAAGCAATGACATATTTGCACATCGAATGAGTCATAATTCATTGACCCTCACCGACTTTTTTTACATACGCGCCGGCCGAGGGGAGGGGGACGAGTACGACGTCCTCCTCGCCGTTCCGCCTCTGATGGAGCTAGAGCGTCGCGGAAAAAACGAGCGTGTGCGCCGTTACGAGACGCAGCGACTGATACCCGATTTTAAAGGCTCAGATTAACTGATGACCTGTTAGGTCAGGTCAAGTGACCCAAGGCACGGGCTTAGTTTTTCATAACTAATTTCGCAAAAAAAAATGGTCGCAGAGCCGCGATTTTGGCATCATCGTGTTCCCTTCGCTCAGGTGCGTCAAGTGGTATACTTTTTGTTTGGGTGAGGTCAAGTTCAGATGTTGACCTCAGGTCAAGGTCATGTCATCTCCTTTAGGTCACGAAGCTGGTCAATGGAGGTCATGTCCCATATCATTCGATTCGGCAGGTCTGCCTGAGTCCATTGGTGTTTTTTTTCGACTCCCTAGCTCAATTTGATCGGGAGTTATTGACGAAAAAACGTATGACCCAAGTGACGTCCTAAAAAGACGTCATGCAAGGTCAACAATGCAAAAGAGAACCATCAGACCCTACAAGGTGTGCAAGAAATCACGATTCCGTGTGCTTGAGATAGTTTGAGATCGTTTCCGACGCTAAAATAGCAGTTTTTGGTGAGCCGTCACGTGAACGACCTGACCTAATGTGACCTTTAGGAAAAATCCAAGCTACACAAGTTATGAGACCTCTGGAAAATATCCTGTACGGGCTGGACCCCCTGAAAACCACTGGACGGGCTCGGCCCCGGCGGCACGTGAATATCCTATGCGAACGTCAATTATACCTCTTTGGCCAAGTGCATATCTCCAAACTTGACCTTTCCGTGTGTAAGCCTCTTTTTTTGATCGAACGAGACTATTGCAAGAGCCGAAAGAATGCTGAGTTCGCAAGCTACATTGGTCTTGGTGGTCACCCCTGGTGCAGTGATTTATGTTTCCTGTTTACTGTATACGTGGAGTTCATATTCTACGGCGTCATTGTTCAAAACATCGCCATCTCAATCTCCCCCTACTTGTGTGAGATCACTGCGACACCAAGGACTAGCACTCTCCTCTCGGACCAAAGGCCATCCATTGGTGTGCTAATTAGCTGAATACGCCGCACGTCCGTCGTCCAATTGCGTACTTCAGTCGAGCAGGGAGACGGGACGGGGACGAACCGCTGAGCGACACTCGTCTTCAGGACTCGGCTCACGGTCTGTGGATAACGAGGAACACTGCAGAGGGGCAGCACGAACATGGTGAGTAAGTCTACATTACGAGTGGGTACTTAGATGCTCTTGCTTGCTCGCAGATACAGGATGCTGCCGGCTGTAGCGAAAGAGAGGGTTTTGAGTTAGGACGGAGAATTGACGAGTCATCTGAGTCACTGGGAATGCACATTACATACTTACCCATATGTAGGTGCATTATTTATCGCTCACAGTGTGGTGGTACTTTGACTCAGTGGAAGCCGGAGCTGTTAATTAAGATATGCATTTTTTCCAAATCTTTTAACGCCAAATCAAAGGCAGTGTATGGATGTAGTGTGCAGATTTGAGGCGCCAGGCTCATGCAGCTTCTTGGTGCGGCATTCAAAGCAAGTGTCGAAGGTCACACGCGTTTTCATCGGAGAAAACCGAAAGAAACAACTGTTCTTTGTCCATGCATCTGCTGTTCTATCTTCTAAAAAACCATCGCATGATCACTGATCAGGCTGTTAGCTGGAATTGGCAACTCCGCTCAATTAGGTACCAGACTTACAGGCCTCTGTAAGTCAAAACACCGTTCCGTGCTTCCATCCTCAGGATACTGAAATCCTTCTCCTCCACGCCGCAACCCCCTTCCGGGCTGGACAGGCAACTTTATCTCATGCGGGCTGCTCCCTTGGAGCGGCACCGCTGCTCCCGAGGGAGCGCACCCCGTAGCCGGGTGCAGTGAGTGCCTTGGGGCTGGGTGGCCTGTCCTCTGGACGGGCTCAGCCCCGGCGACTCACTAGGGTGCCTGCCCAGACCAATGTCTCCCCCTAATTCCTATCATCCTTCCGGCTCTGCAATGGTCTTGTCGACCGAAAGGGCCTAACCCAACAAAACAAAAAAAGTCAAAACAGAACACTTTAAATCGTATAGGTAGTGATTCACCACTCATCTGAGACGACGTATGCATAGCAAAAGACCGAAAAAATTAAAGCTGCGTCAAATCTCATGATGTGCGGCTTGTGCACCATTTGTAGAGCATGCTGTTTTCCCCAGTTAGCTTTGAAAGATCCTTGTGCACGAAAGACGGTAAACGTAAATTTCGGAGACCAAGGAAAACTAGTTGACCATCCCCTTCGGCCGCGCAACATTTTAATTTATGTAGCATAAATGTGAAAGATAGGTGCATGGTAGGCATGTACGCACGGTTTGTATGCGTCTGGTCGATTGTTCATCTAATTGGAACTTCCTAACCATGGATGTTATCACAATTCACAACCCCTCCATCCATTCGCAGTCTGCCAACCAAGCTATATGCTGGCTCCTCATTGGCTGTTGGTTGCCTCCACTGACGTCATTGGCAGCTGCCGAATGGATCGACCTCAGTCACACGTTCAATAGCACCGCTCAGTATTGGCCCGGGGCTCTACCTTTCAATCTGACCGCCACATTCAAAGGCCAGAAGGAGTTTTACTGGTGAGTTGTTTGTGTATTTGTAATGCCGTGGCTAGTTTCTTGTAATTTCCTGTAATGATGTTGAATTGAAACGTAATGACTTTATATATTCAAATACTTATTGAAAATGCATGAAAAGTCGATTATTTGGAAGTTTTCAACAGCAGATTGGTGTATTACTAATAAACATTTAAAGATAACGAATAACCCCGCGAAGGACCTTCACAAAAAAGTTTCAGAGCTCAAGGAACCATAGAATGGACATCGTTTGAACGGTTGACTATAATTGTGTTGCCTTGTCTGAACAACTTGGATACCGAAACATCATCAAACTATTTATTTCCAGGTACGAAGCGAATGATTTCGAGGCTGCAGAACATGGCGGAACTCACATGGACGCTCCATCCCACTTCTGGAAGGGAGGCTGGAGTCTGGATCAAATTCCTGCCGATCGGTTTGTGGCACACGGTATGAGAGCGCCGCGCCGCGCTGTTCCTCATTGCCTCTACCCCTGGCCCCCCATCCCTTTTGCCCTGTGTCGACTGCTCATGCCCTTTATTTCCCGGTTAATTCTCATCAATTTACCCCTCTCCCCTTCCTTCAACGGAAATTAAGCGCTCTTTGGCTGGTCAATCGTCTAGTATTCCACGGTTCGGTAGTGCTTGACGAGGTATGGTATATAGCAAAAAGGTGATTAATAACACATAATTAAAAGGTGAGCTAGCTGGTTAGTAGCTTCCGCTAAAGATTATGGGTCTTTTTCAGCGGCTCTGATCGACATCGAAGACCGCAGTCAGAAGGACCCCGACTCAATACTGACTCCTGACGACCTGGCTAAGTGGAAGAGCCAATATGGGAGCTTCAAACACCCGACCATTCTGCTGGTGCGAACTGGAAACGCCAAGTACTGGTCGGACAGTGCGCGGTATTTCGGCTTCCAGAACGGCACTACGATTGATACTGAGTCGAACGAGACGTCAGCACCCGAGCTTCACTTTCCAGGTCTGTTGGAAGGGTTGATGATTTTGTCATACATTATTACTAGAGAGAATAGGGTAGGGTGGGGTAATTTGAACATGTGGGGCAATTTGAACATAGTGTGAATAACACAAAATTACGGAAAATCCATAAGTCGCATGACAATAAGACCAATGAGAGAAATTATCGTAACTAAAAGGGCTATCATATGAACGGGGTTTAAAGTTTCAGGGAATGAAGATGTTGACGCACAGTGTAAAAAATCAATTTCGCAAGGAAAAACGCCTAACAACACGTCATTGCAACTTCATTGCAGCGCAAAATCTTGCATTGCTAGCGCCTAATACGCAACGGCTTTTGTTGTATAATGACCTAATCAGTGCCTTCAATCCAAGAAATTTGCTTTTGAACCCTGTTTTTTAAAATGGCAAAATAACTTTTAGCGTGGGGTAATTTGAACATAGTGTGAGAATTTGAATGAAGACAGGGATAGCTCCGAAAAATACAAAGCTCCCAGTTTTTTTTTTGCCAATATTTTCGACCCAAGGCAGTAGCAGATAAGTGATGCCAGTTTTAGAAAATTTACGTCTAATATCCGTCTAATGTCCGGCATTTTTGTTGATTTTCCGTCCAAAAATGTTAAAGTCAACTATTTGTCCAAATATGTCCGAAAATATATGCAGCTATCAACACTCAAAACCGTCATTTATATTGCTTATCATGTAATTTTACCAGCCGAAAAGTTTTCATTATATTGAGAGCTTAACAAGCTTTCCATTCGCCAATCAATCCTATGCACGACTACTTTATAAAAAGCGCTGAAGTGTAGCAAGCCATCGTCCAATGTTGTCCAGTCTGCTACCTTTGTCCAACCAATTCCGAATTGGACATTGGACAAAATCAGAACTCCAAATGTCCAGGTTTCGATTGGCACCACTTTAACAGATGTAGTACGGTTGGGAGAGTTTTTATCGAACAAAAATGATAGACGTTCTGTTAATTGAAAAGGGGCGAATTCTGTCAACTGACCGGTGTGCAGCGTGCAGATATTGATACTCTGCAACTGTTATTTTTGCTGTTGTGTTGATTTTTCAAGTGAAGGTATGTTTAGAATTGTTCTGCCTATTTGTTTATGGGTCAAACAACATCGGTGCTGGCGAGACTATCGTTTTTATGACAGGTAAAGGCAGTATGTTCAAATTACCCCACGGTGGGGCAATTTGAACACACCGTGACTTGGTGGAGAAGTGAGGCTATGCTATTCAAGGTATGCTCGGCTCGTCCAAAAATGAGGCTTGCATGGTGAAAGCAAGTGACACTTGCGCTACTGAAGCAGTTTTTCTTCATCCAGGGTTGAACTGGAATTTGGTACAATGGAGAAGACGTAAAAATATGTTCAAATTACCCCACACTACCCTAGTTATCCAACTGGTTCAGTCTCTGAGAAGCAGATCCTAAAGTCGCTATTCAGTATAATCACGTACAGAGAAAACGGCATAAAGTCACGTTTATAAACTCTTCACATCTCGACTTTATATGTATTCCACGATTCTTCGTTCTCCTCACCATCAACATTTCCTTACCACCTTTTACTGCCTTCTTCATGACCATGAGTACTCTCTCACTCTCCGTATTCTATATCTTGCCGTTCTCAGGAATCGGCGCCGAGGCGGGCCGGTTTTTGGCCGACGACCCGGCCATTGTCGGTGTCGGAATCGACACCCCCTCCATCGACGCGGGCAACTCCAAGACGTTCCCGACGCACGTGACACTATTCGCCGCCAACAAGTTTGGTGTAGAGAATGTGGGAGACATGAGTCGAGTGCCTGCCACCGGAGCCACGTGAGTAAATCGTGATTCGGGAGGAAACGTTAGCGACAGACAGGTGGAAAAGGCGATATTGAAACGAAAGAAGATTACTATAAAAAGTTCAAAGAATATTTCCGCTTTACCATTTTGTAAAAAAGAAAATCATTGGAAAAGCATCGACTCAGTCTTACGCTTATTGCACAGTGTTTCCCCGAGTGTGCTGTTTACAAGTTTTCTAATGTTTCGTGCTGCTGGGCTGGATACCTAGCATTCCATGGGCCTTATATTTTCACCTTTTTCTGTTGCAGGATCCTGGCGCTTCCGATGAAGATCGGCGGCGGCAGCGGCGGCCCGTGCCGCGTGCTGGTCCGCCTGCCCTGATCGGCGATCATTGCGGCCATAAGTGATCATATGATCACCATTTCATTGCCTGCTTAGCTTGTGCTTATGGCTACGCGTTAAATATGATCAAATATAGCTACGCTGGACATTGGACAAACACCATTTTGATCCTACCGAGCAGCATACCGTGTATGCACGTGCTCTTCATTGGTTGCCATGTACCTACCTATGTATGAGCAATTAGTTTCCTCTGTAGGCCTAGGCTCGGTGCGTTCGCTGTAGAATGGTGGCTGTACTTTAACCCACTATTAGCACATATACCGCTTACCATAATACCCCGCGCACCGACGGGGGTCTGCGCCAACTTAGTACCGACGGGGGGGGGGGGGGCGGATGACCGCCCCCCCCTGAGATCTCGAGAACGAAGCAAGATAGCGACAAGCGGTAAACGGCATCGGATACGCATGGACAAGGTCTACAATTTTTACTAAGGTCATTTTCAGGTCAGGTCAAAGATGACGTCACAGGGGTCGAAAAAGTCAAAATGGCGGCGCTAGATATGGATAGGGTTTTTCTCGAATAACTTTCGAAGTAGTCAAGATAGGAACAAACTAAGGGCATCATCGTGATTCTCTCGTCAATCCGCATCGAATGATATATATGTTGACCTCGAAAGGTCAAGGTCAAAGGTTGACCTCAGGTCACGTGACCTCGAGGTCATCATGTATATCATTCGATGCGTCTTGACGAGCTGAACACAATGAGACCATCCGCGCGGCTGTATCTTATTCCTGTAAGGAGTTATTGGCAAAAAACCTTTGGTGACCTTTGATGACGTCACATGACCTTACTGCTGCCCAACAGCAAAACAGACCTCAAGGTAGTGAAGGTTGATCGTATGTGAAGTCATGTATGGTATATGGGGCATTCCGACCCGTTTTAGTGGTAAAAACAGGGAGTTGATTTTTCCCCCATTGACTTATAATGGGGAGGTCGCGAAATTGACCTGACCTTAGGTCACCGACATCAAAATTCCGAGATATACAAATTGTAGCTACTAATGACCTTATAACATCCTGCGACTTTCAAAGGCCTCCGACATCTACTGTAGCTCTGGCACGGTGACAAAGTTGCAAAAAAGTGACTTGAGGTTGGGTCATTCAAAGTGACCTGGTGACCTGACCTTAAAAGTTAGGAGGTTCAAACTTGCACACCATGTGTAAAATTGATGAGGTTATAGTCATACCAAATTTCGCGGCGCTACGCGCCGCGGTTTTCCCGCTATCCGCGAAAAACCTCAGGGGGGGCGGATATCCGCCCCCCCCCCCCGTCGGTGCGCGGGATACAGTCGTGAGCCGGTTTGGAAGATCGTATTTAACTGTTCGGTAAGGTTTGAGCATGCCAGTGGCGAGCAGAGTGTTGAATGATACATGCCAACATTGAGGTCGTGTGAAAACAGAAGGCTGGTCAGTGATCAGGCATGAGAGGGCCGAGAAGTCTCCTTGGAGCTCCCAGGCGCAGTTCGTATCAATCCCTCACATAGCTTATATCATCACAATGCCCAAGTGTGTGTAGTTAGTTTTGCATTTTTTCTCGAAATCACCCGGTGGTTGTAGTATAACAAGTGGTTTGAAGATAGCTTCACAGCTCATGTTTGCCCTTGGTCGGAATCACATGTGACAATCTTAGCATGACGAAGCTTGTTTGAGCACAAAGCATAATAATCGGATCGCGCGATTATACTGATAATTTCGTATCGCAGCAGATGCGTGGCCTATGGAATATCTACTTCTTATTTACTGTACGTAAGTCTTTCTAAGGAATAATTGGCATGCGACCTACGAACTCTTCAGCACGCCGAGTGTCATATAGATAAGTGTTTTAAAAGACGTCAATAAAATATGCGTGCGTCTAATGCATCATACTACATTTGCAGGGATTAATTATCATTTCGTTCATAGGTATATCTGGCAAAATACAATGCCGAGTGCGTATCTAGATAAAGTTTAGTATCTATATGAGTTTTATTTTACACCTCTATCAAAATTATCAGCATCAGAACCTCCAAGTGCTCACCAATTAAAAATGACGTCACTTCAAACAATTCGGATACGATAGACGACATTTCGCTTTGATGTTGAAAACCCAGGGCAAGAGATGGATTCATTGACACAATGGGATTACAGAAAAGTACATACTACATAAAGACAACATATTTTTCAGAGGCATTATCTCATGTGTATGGATATGTTTAACGGCGATAACGAGGTTCGCCACTGGGTATTCAAATACCTTTATGAAGCACGTTACCGAACGAATAACAAAAAGATAGTTTGTTTTTCGTTTGTTATTTTTTTGTTTTTTTGTTATTTATTTGTTATTCGTTCGCTAACGTGCTTCATATATTTGAATACCCAGTGGCGAACCTCGTTATCGCCGTTACACATATCCATACACATGAGATAATGCCTCTGAAAAATATGTTGCCTCTATGTAGTATGTACTTTTCTGTAACAAAAAGATAGTTTTTTTTTAATTGGGTGCAGGCGCAAAAGGGTGCAGGCACAAACCGGGGAGCAGCACCTACCTGCATTATTATTTATTTGCAATCATGCTACAGAGGGTAACCATAGTGCAGGGACATACAGCACTGGATGTGATCTGTAAGAAAAACTAAATTCGATACATGATTCTTCTCTCGGATGTAATCAACACTTAGCGACATCATAAGCCAGTCGGGACTTTAACCGAAACATTTCAAATTGCTAAACGGGAAAAGCATATCGTACGACAAGAACACGAGTAACAGACAGGATGCATCACTCTTTGAGAAGGAACGGCATATCGAACTGCACAGCCGCAACAATAAGCGTCAGAAAGTCTTTGATGCTCTGTACGAAGAACTGCCGGTCGAGTGTAAAGTACCCAGCCATGTCCATATCTACCTCCTGCTCCTGCAACTGGCGATGGAGCTCCCAGAGTTCCTCCCTTACCGCCTTTCCCTGGCTGGGCAACTCCTTAGCCAGCCGACACTTCAGCTGGTCCTGCAGAATCTCCGCAGCACGACGAGACTCCCTCCGACAGGCCTCGCCGGTATTCGTCATCACCTTCAGCAGGATCAGCGACGACGGCGTCAGCATCCTCATCATGACCCGCAGCGTCAGGGAGCCGGCCTCGCCGAGCTGCTTTCCGGGACGCACGCCAAAGTAGACTGACAGCGACACTTCGACGATCAGAAGATACATACTGACGGCGACGAAGCCTCCAAACGTGTGACAAATGTCGCCAGCAAGATCGGAGATCCTGCTGTGTTGATGCACGAGTTTCCGCATCTGCTGAACGTCTTGGCGCTCGACGGCCTCTTGTAGGCGTTCAGTGACACGGCTGAACATCTCGGTCAGCCCGCGGCACAGGCACGCGAAGAGAATGATCCAGAAGACGAAACCGCCGTAAGCTGCCAGGGAGGTGATGGTGCTGATCACAACGAGCCACCAGGCGGTGGAGTTCTCCGCTTGTGCCGCCGCATTCACGGTGATGGTATACACAAACGACAGCACCTGATAGGCGACAAAGAGGCGTACGTACCTGGCTGTGTGCAGCAGCGGCTCTACCCCAAACGCTCTCTCGTAATCGAGGCAGGCGGCGAACATCGCGCTGAGTCTCTTGACGCTGAGCCAGGCCCAGATAACGGTGCCCATCCAGCGCACCAACACCACCAGCGAGAGGAAGATGTAGTAGACGCTCATGGCAGAGGTGATGCTGCTGAACTGCGGCGGCTGGACGGTGAACTGCACCAGCAGCAGGCTGAGTACGAGGACATCCAGCAGGACGTTCCTGATAGTTGAGAAGGATACAAGTCGCCAGCGGTAGTCGCTCACAGATATTGGGAGCGAGCCGCAGAGGGAGGAACAGACCAGGACTGGCCGCAGAAGGAGCAGCAGTGATCGTCCCCCGCCCTGAACCGGCCGTGGTTCTTCGCCTGGCGGTAGAATAACATTTACGATAGTTTCCGACATTGGCCGGACATCGCGAACAGGGCGAGTGAGTCAGTAATTACAAGCCTGAATCTCCTTGTCCAAACGGATTATATTCAGGAATGGGTATAAATGTGATTAGAAACCTAAGCTTCGTGCTAGAATATATTTGCAAAATGGCCAAGAAAATTAGACAACAGTTTTGCGCATAGCGCATCATCAGGTCTCCTGATGACTCCAGAGACCTGATGATGCGCTATGCACGAAACTGCTGTCTAATTATTTTGGCCATTTTGTAAATATACTTTAGCATGAGACTTAGCTTTTTAATAATTAATCACATTTATATTTTCAATCACGAGCCTCCAAGCAGCGCTATCTTTCATCATTCAACATAATCAATCAATCAATCAATTTATTATGCGTCTTTTCGAGACAAGATAAAACATACAGTAAAACATACGACACAATATAACAAAAGATAAACACTCATCACGACGCAAAGATACAACATCGTAGCAGAATGCACAAAGCAGGTTAGGCGCACAAAAGCCTCAGCAGGCGACGGGACATAACTGTCTGACTAGAATTTAGCACGAAGCGAATCGAGTCGACCAAACCGTCACCTTCAGTCGGGCTACTTATAAAGCTAGGGTCAACTAAGTCTATGATCATCTCGGAATATTCCCAACAACGCGAAAACCACCGCGCGTCTGAGGATTTCTTGTATCCTGGGAATTTTTAGAGCAATAAGCAGAGCAGAATGATGTGCGTATTTTGACAGACCAAGGGCAGCTTTGATGCAGCGAGACTGGACGCTGTCCAGGGTATCAACATCAGTTGAGCGGAGAGGAACCGTATGACATCCAAACATAAGGGCAGGGACAACCACAGTTTTCCACAGGAAAACTTTGTCAGCAGGTGAGAGACATTCACTGAGCATACCGGTAGGAGTCAGTCCATAGAAAGCTCCACGAGCTCGACTGGCGCGGTGCCGTACATGATGTGAGCCGTCAAGGTCCGCCGACAACACAACACCGAGATGTTCTGTCACTGTACGTACAGCAAGCTGTTGTCCAGATAAGTGCCATACAGGTAGCACAGACAAAAGTTCGGCACCAAATACGATACAGTGACTTTTCGTCTTCGCAGGATCCACATGAACAAATTCCAACCTCCAAAAACCTGCAAATTCGCTGACTAGTTTCAAGAGTTTACCTAGGTCTCCCGCATTGGTGGAGAGCAACATGAGGTCATCTGCGTAGCAAACGGCGGGAACATGGTAGCCAAACATAAATGCTCCACATAAGCTGACATCAAGTGTGCTAATAAGTGGCTTAAAATACACATTTGCAAACACCGGTGATAAAATGGCTCCCTGTCTTGTCCCTCGTTTGATAAGGAAGCACATCGATCTACGCCCAGCATAAGTTACAAAACTTTTTAGACGTCTATACCACATCGCAATCAGATGCCAGGACCGGGGGCTCAGAAAATCCTTTAGGCGAAAGAGTAGACCATCGTGCCATATCTTATCAAAACATTTCCTAGCGTCTAAATTTGCTGCAAACACTGGAGAGTCTCTCTGACGATGCCACTGCACGGTTTCAGTAACAAGCATTGACGCTTCAGTAGTGCCACGGTTCTCTATAAAGCCAAATTGCAAATCACTGGGCGAGAATGATTCGGTTAACTCAGCCAGTAGCAGGCATTCTAACAATTTCGACATTGTAGTGGTGAGAGATATCGGTCTATAGTTGTCCAAGCAGTCACGGTTCATACCCGATTTCTTTACAATTGGTTTCACAACGCTGACAGAAAAGGCATCAGGGACAGATAAAGTGGAGTAACACGCTGTGAGGAGATGAGCGATTGCAATGAGCAGGGTTTGGGATCTACCATATAATAGATGCTCCACTGTGACGTGGTCTACCCCAGGGGCTGTACCACGCTCTAACTGCTGAATCAGCCCACATACATCATCAGGAGTAATGACACGGGTCTCGGAGGAATCACAGCCACTCGAGAGACGAGCAGCAACAGCATCACATATGAGCTGTTGGGCAGGGCTCAACTGCGAACCATCATCCTGGCTGATCGATCCAAAGTGGTCAGCAAAATCATCAGCAGTGAGATGACTTTGTCCAGGCTGCCCACCTCTTCTCACAGCATTGACACGACGCCAGAATGCATTAACATTTCGCCCCTGCCGTAGATAGTGAATGAGGCGTGCTTCCTCGTCTATCCTACCCCGGGCCGCAATTTTACGGGCGCGTCGGTACGCTCGACGGGCACTACAATAGCACGTATAAACAGCGCAGTTAACAGGTCGTCCACAATCAGTCCAAATTCTAAACCAGAAGCGAGCTCTCTCGCGAGCACCGGAGACCCAAGGAGTCCACCAGCTCTTAGGAGAGCGCATAGGTTTCGCACAGCCCGACTCACGAGCGGCGGCATGAATGGCATTAGTGATGTATACGTCTAGCGCATTTACATCGGTGTGCTCATACGCCCTAGAGACACAACTTCTCAGAGCCGTCAGGTGCGCCTCAAGTGTGCACTTATAAATTTCATTGCGATTGTCGCAATCCCATTTCAAAACATCAGGATGCCTATTGTTAACAGCTGGAACACTTTTTCTAAATGAGCGTTTCTCACTACGCAGAGACAGTTGTACGTGACAGCTGATAGGCAAGTGCGGACTCAAGCAAGTGCGGATAAGTAATAACTGTATTCAGGAATAATACAATGAATATGCTGTGACCTGACGACTTAGGTTTGACGCTGTTTGACTGCTAAATAGACTCTGAACTTTTTCGACTAACTGCAATGGCTAGCTATGAATAGCTCCCGTCTAAATTCCAGTTTGAGGTAAGGTCTAAGAACAAATCCAACCAGCCGAAGCCTTACCATTCTGCTGCGGGGCAATAGAGGAAACAGGAGATGTCCAAACTCTGATTGATTTGATGACGGACATCGCTGTGGCTTCTTCGTGCTACCGCACTGTAGTCCTAAATGACTTCCACGTCTAGAATTATCTGGCTGTTTCGGGAGCTAGAAGCGCCGTTTGTATGGCTGCCTCTGTGACCTAGAACGCTAGTCTTATGGCTTGCCTGGTTCTTTGTTGTTAGTAACGGCGCCACCTGAAGTGCACATGTCGCATATTGTGCAAACAGTGTTGTTGACTTGCAGTGAAAGACATACAAATGGCTGTGGGAGCTATTGGAAGCACATGCTATTTTCCTTCCGATGCATTTTGTCGTAAGAAGGCATGTTGTCAAAAATGTTCGATATCCATATTGATTTGGGTTGAGCATTTGTTAGCTCTGGGTCACCAAAGGTCAACACGGCTTTGCGGCTGACACTTGTGAAAAGTGTTTGGCTGAAAACTGGGGCATCGTATTTTACAAAGCAAATGTTCTCTATCTGGTATCTTACTATTTGTTGATACTGCGGATAATTCATTACCTAATGGACACATGCATCATGGATGTAGGGACTGCCGGCAACTTATTTAATAACCCTCGCCGGGCCTATTGGTTTTCTACCTACGCGCCGGCCGAGGGGGGGGGGGGGGGCGGGGGATGCGGCGGGTACGACCCCCCTCGCCGTTTGGCCCCTGGTGGAGCTAGCGCGTCGCGGAAAAAAACGAGCGTGTGTGCCGTTACGAGACGCAGAGATTGATACCCGATTGTAAGGTCTCAGGTCAACCGGTGACCTCTGAGGTCAAGTCAAGTGGCCCAAAGTACGGGTTCGGTTTTTGGCGAATGACTTCGCAAAAAAAACGGCCTCAGAGCCGCGATTTAGGCACCATCGTGTTCGCCTTGCTCAGGCGCGTCGAATGGTATACCTTTGCTTTGGGTGAGGTCAACTTTAGGTGTTGACCTCGGGTCACTGTCAGGTCAGAGCCTCCAGATCACGAACTTGGTCGAAAGAAAGTTGCATATCATTCCATTCGGCAGGTCTTCTCAAGTCCATTGGAGGCTTTCCCGATTCGCTAGCTCAATTTCATCAGGAGTCATTGACGAAACACGCTTATGACCCTAGTGACGTCATAAATGACGTCATGCAAGGTCAACAATGCAAAAGTGAAGCATCGAAACTTGCAAGGATTGCATGAAATAACGATTCTGTGTAGTTTAGATAGTTTGAAATCGTTCCCGGCGGCAAAATTGCAGTTTTTATTTTTCCCCATTGACTTATAGGTGAGGTCACGAAAATGACCTGACCTCATATGACCTTTTGGAAAAATCCGAGACACACAAATTGTGAGACGCCTAATGCATACTTGGTCGTGCAAATTTCGTTTCCCTGTGAATGCTCCTCTGGCAGCGAGGGCGTTGCGAAGTTGCGACATCTGAAGACCGTGCAGTGGTTCACTTATGACGTTAAAGGTCAGTGACCTGAACTGACCCGATAATGCGGTTGGTGTCAAAAGATCCGGCTTTAATCAAAGGTCAGGTATGCTAAGTTTTAGCTCTCTATCACGGGCGTGTTTGGAGCTATCGCGAAAAAAAAAAACGATGGGAAGGGCGGCACCCGTCCCCCCCCCCTACCGCGGCCGGCGAGGGTTAAAATGTTAGATCCCAGCAGAATAACCTAAAAAGGCTCATATGTATTCCGAGAACCGACAGCTGACTATTGGAAACACAAGGGAAAAATCATATGAAATTGTTGCAACAACATATTATTTATTGGTTGGCAAAACAGGCGAGCACAACATTCTCTCGTTTTGATGCACAGTTTTCCACGATTTTTTCTTTTTGTTATTACCCATCACGGAATCATGTGTCTCCATTGTTGCACATCAGTGATCCGTGGCCATTCAAGAATATCTATCAAAAACTTTTGGCCACTAGTATACGTATAGATGACATTGAGCTATTGGTATAAAGACTGACTACATAACAAGCACAATCATTGGGTCGAAGCGCTCATATCTTTTTTTCATATCATTCACACATAACGATCTGTACTGTAGTATTTACGTGTAGTCATAGACAGGTCATGGTGATCATTTGATCATATGATCACTGATGGCCACAGTGATCGCCGATCAGGGCAGGCGGACCAGCACGCGGCACGGGCCGCCGCTGCCGCCGCCGATCTTCATCGGAAGCGCCAGGATCCTGCAACAGCAAGGATGTCCGCTCTGATAGCTGCATTGGTCTATTGCTACGCGACTCGTGGGTCACTAGGTACATTCGCCTTGAATTCAAACTTAGTCAATAGCCACTAATTTCAAGTCAAGTGAAGTTTCAAGAGTGCGACTCTGAGAATCTGGTAAAATGTATATTGACGTATGTATGTACCTACATCAAGCGAACCATATTATTTATTGGTTCGCTTGGTTCGTTTGACAAATTTTATGTCAAAAGACTGCGCCACACCATATTTTACTCCTCCTGCCATGTCTCATGATAACTCACGTGGCCCCGGTGGCGGGCACTCGACTCATGTCTCCCACGTGCTCCAGACCAAACTTGTTGGCGGAGAATAGTGTCACGTGCGTCGGGAACGTCTTGGAGTTGCCCGGGTCGATGGACGGGGTGTCGATGCCGACACCGACAACGGCCGGGTCATCGGCCAGCAGCCGGGCAGCCTCGGCGCCGATTCCTGAGAACGCGGAGTTAAAAGGGGGAGTAAGGAAACAGTGGGGATGGGGAGGAATGTGAGGCGTAACTGCTTGGCATACAGTTAACAATACACATAATGTGGAGTGGCTGTGTACAATGAGTGATAATGAACTCATGGTAATGGGTGATGATCAATGAGCGAATGACCGATGAATCTTCAGTACAAAAGTCCAGGACAATGTATCAGAAAGAAACCTCAATAAAAAAAAACGCGAGGGCATATTCCTCGGCTCACAGCTACTCGTTTTGTTTTCTGAAATCGTTTGCCAATATTTATTTGTTTGTTTGTTTTGTTGGGTTAGACCCTTTCGGTCCAATGAGACCATGTTTCAGAGCCGGGAGGATGATAGGATATAGGGGGAGACATTGGTCTGGGCAGGCACCCTAGTGAGTCGCCGGGGCTGAGCCCGTCCAGAGGACAGGCCACCCAGCCCCAAGGCACTCACTGCACCCGGCTACGAGGTGCGCTCCCTCGGGAGCAGCGGTGCCGCTCCAAGGGAGCAGCCCGCATGAGATAAAGTTGCCTGTCCAGCCCGGAGGGGGGTTGCGGCGTGGAGGAGAAGGATTTCAGTATCCTGAGGATAGAAGCACGGAACGGTTGTGCCAATATTTATATGATTTCTTTACCTGGAAAGTGGAAAGTCGGAGTTTGAATCTCGTTTGACTCAGTATCCACGACTGTGTCGTTCTCGTAGCCGAAGTACCGCGCCCTGTCCGTCCAGTACTTGGCGTTTCCAGTTCGCACCAGCAGAATGGTCGGGTGTTTGAAGCTCCCGTATTGGCTCTTCCATTCATCCAGGTCGTCCGGAGTCAGAATTGAGTCGGGGTCCTTTTGACTGCGGGCTTCGATGTCGATCAGAGCCGCTGGAAAAGACAATGTCGGTAGAAAAAGGATTTTGCTCTAAGCAACTTTTTTGCGTAATTGTTATACGTAGGCAAAGAGCTTTTAGATCTAGAAATAAGGCTTAGTGACAAACATAATTGTGGTGACTAGCCCGTAGAATGGTGATATGAAATGCTTCCATGACCGAAATTATGCGTGCAAGAAGACCAGGTGCTAAAGACCTGCCATCAAATCTAGAACATTTACTGAACTAAAATTAACAACAATCTGCAGCATCCGTCTCGCCAATCGCTGTCATACCGTGAGCGACAAACCGATCGGCAGGAATTTGGTCCAGAGTCCAGCCTCCTTTCCAGAAGTGGGACGGGGCATCCATATGGGTTCCGCCGTGTTCCGAGGCCTCGAAATTGTGCGTTTCCAGCCTGGTTAGGGTAAGAAGGTGAATAAAGTATATTGCAACAAAGTAGATGTTTTGTATGAATTATTATGGGCAACAAGGCCCATCCCTATTCGTATTCTCTACGCAATGGTGAGTTTTACAATGATAAGTAATTTATTGCACGTACCAAAATGTGTCCTTTTGTCCCTTGAAGACGACACTCAGATTAAACGGCAAAAATCCGGGCCAGTACTGAGTAGTCCTGTCAAACGTGTAGCTGAGGTCGATCCATTCGGCTGCCTCCGATGGCGTCATCAGTAGCGCCCAGCAGCCAATCAGCGCCCAGCTCACATATAAACTGGCAGCCTGTAAGTAAACAATCATATTATCGTCTGTTCAGTTGCACGTGATCCGGAACGTATCAGAAGATCAGGATTTTGTAAACCATCGAGTCTCCTTGTATTCTCAAATCGATCTAAAAGCTCCTCTTACTAGCTATGATGCAAGTTAATATGCAAGTATGCACGTATTATGTACATTTATTTACATTTGTCACACGTCTAAACTTTTTGAAATATTTCTTTCTCCCTTAGGTAGGTATTCACTTTTGTCTAGGAGTTATCCACTCCCGTAAATCCTTTAAATTACTGGCTTAAAGTAAAAGCGCAAAACTTTGAATTTCCGCTGATCAATTTTTAATTTTACACCTTGTCACAAAACTGCATCGTTGCAAATGAAACAAAACTGGCAAATGTCCACAGCCCTCCCTTTCGCGGCTACAACCACCCAATATTTCACGGCACATGCACGTACCATGTTACCGCTTTCCTCTTGAGTTCCCCTGCGGCCTCAGAGTCTCCAGTACAGACGAGTGGCACCTGAGCAGCCCCTCCAAATCGACCCACAGGGGGCGGCCGCCAATCCTCCAGTGCCGAGCTCAGGCGCCGGGTCCACATATTATGAAGAACGGCCTTCCAGCAGGGGGCGCCCAACACCGGTTTGACAGGTGGGATGTGCTTTGCGGGCTCCTTTCGGTAGTTACATGCTGTAGGTGAACGCTGCTATAATGGCGTTTTGATCCGCGCAGTGCAAATGAAGGTAATGAGAAGCTTTTTTTTTTCTCCGCGACGAATAAATGAAACACCGGGTACTTTTATTTACGGGAGCTTTCAAATATTTGTTGCTGAAAATGACTCCTTTCTATGTAACATTCATCAATCGTGAATCAATGAGAAGTTTAACAATCAGAAAGGGACTATCGAATTCTCGACCAATGTAAAGCTAAAACAGAACTATAAAGTTAACGAAAGTAACGGCGAAATAATTGCCTATCATTCGAAGCACGCATGAAAAGCGTGATGTAGTTTTAGTTCAAGTTTGTTTCTATCCATTTGATTAACGATATTTACTTAAATCAGAAAATGTGTTCCTACTTTACGAATTCCTATCAGCTCAGCCATATAGGCCATATAGACCATTTCAAGCATCTGCAAATTGAGTATTTTTCAATGGCATAGACAAAGTGTTAAGTAAAGCTGTCTACAAATGTAAAAAATGACATCTATGCCTACATACTATGACATCCGTCAAAAATATTTGATAACTTTTTAAATATTTGAATAAAATTGATGCGATGCCTAAGTATGTGAGATCTGGCTTGTTCACTGGTCGTTTTTTTTTTTACCTATGCCTGATCTCAAATAATCAATCGGTGATTGACCGGGAAAGACAATGGTGTCACTTGTCCGCTGCATAAGGTTATCGAGGGTGCTTTTTGACATCTTACGAGGATCACTCACCAATGTGCCGTAAGTAGAATCCTAAATCGAAGATATATTTGCATGTAATTTTCTTCGTTCGTCCATCAGCTGCGACAATATGTGAATGCTGAAGCCGGAAATAAAGTCCAATCACATCTAGCGAACACCGAGTAACGGCTACACACAATGCCGTCACCGTCTGCGTAGTGCGTTCTTCAGCGGAGAGCAGCCTCCAAAAATGAACGTTCTGACCTTCTAAAACACAGGCCATCATTCCAGTAGGTACTGGTCTGAACTGATCCGAAAGGCACGTTACGCAGGTTTGTATTCAGCTCGCGAACCCTATCTAGCCACAGTATCTCCTCGTTTCGTCCTCGCTGTCACTTAAAATGGAAAGACTGGTTGGCGCGGATAGAAACTTGCGCGGACAGAATGCAAAGCAGCTGGACGGATCGTGTTCTGCTGAAACTGCGTGTGTCAGTCGTGCTACGCAGTGTGCGTACTGAATGATACCTGAATAATCAAGTGGCCGAGGGTTGGAGATGGTTGGAGACTCACTCCAACTCAGCTCCTGTTGTTGTTTGTTTATTGGGGCTTTAGGGCGCGTCGACTGCAAAGGTCATTTTGCGCCCACCCCTACTCCTGGGTCACGTATGCAAAAAAAGCGGCTAAGATACCTCGTAAGTAAATACTGTAATTCTGTATTTTAGCGCAAAATTAGGTTACCAAAGGTCGGAAATGGACAAGTGGCCCCTATTTTGTTTTATCTTTAACTTGGGTAGGTGAATTCGTATTTCGATGACTGACGATGAGTTCGATCCGACATCGCGGCTTAAGCAAAAAAAAAAAAGCATCAGAATCGTTACCGTTTTTTAGCATTATAGCCGTCACGTCTGACCATGTGTCAAGGTCTCCTGAGGATCAAATTGCTAACATAGATTATTTTGTGAAATATTCTTTCACAGTGACTTCAGAAATCTGCGACTGTGATATCACATTCTGTGGCCGTGTCCCTTATTTCGTGTTTTTCCTTGTTAACATTATTTGATCTCCACATAACAACCCAAAACATTTTAGAGTAAACCGTCAACTATATTTTTTTTTTACTCTAATCGCAGCAATAATTTTCAGAACAATAGGTAAGTCAAAACCAGAGGGATCAACTTCTTAATTAACCCTCGCCGGCCGAGGGGGGGGGGCGGGTGCCGCCCCCCCCCCATAGGGTTTTTTCGCGATAGCTCCGAACACGCCGGCGGTAGAGAGCTGAAACTTGGCATACCTGACCTTTGATCCAAGCCGCATCTTTTGACACCAACCGCATTTTTGGGTCAGGTCAGGTCACTGACCTATGACGTCATAAGTGAACCTCTGCACGGTCTTCAGATGTCGCAACTTCGCAACGCCCTCACTGCCAGAGGAGATGTCACAGGGAAATGAAACTTGCAGGATCTAGTATCCATTATGAGTCTCACAACTTGTATATCTCGGATTTTTCCTAAAGGTCATATGAGGTCAGGTCATTTTCGTGACCTCACCATTATAAGTCAATGGGGAAAAATCCAAACTGCTATTCTGGCGCCGGGAACGATCTCCGACTATCTCAAGCACACAGAATCGTGATTTGATGCACTCCTTGCAAGGTTAGATGCGTCACTTTTGCAATGTTGACCTTTCGTGACGTCATTTATGACGTCATCAAGGTCATATTAGTTTTTCGTCAATAACTCTTGATCAAATTGAGCTAGCGAGCCGGGAAAGCCACCAATGGACTCAGGAAGACCTGCCGAATCGAATGATATGCGACATGACCCCTTTCGACCAACTTCGTGACCTTAGGGTGCTGACCTGACCTTGACCTGAGGTCAACACCCCAAGTTGACCTGACCCGAACAAAAAGTATATCATTCGACGCGCCTGAGCGAGGCGAACACGATGCTGCCAAAATCGCGGCTCTGCGGCCATTTTCCGCGAAGTTATTCACCAAAAACTGAACCGTACCTTTGGGCACTTGACCTGACCTCAGAGGTCACCGGTTGACCTAAGACCTTAAAATCGGGTACCAATCTCTGCGTCTCGTAACGGCGCACACGCTCGTTTTTTCCGCGACGCGCTAGCTCCACCAGGGGCGAAACGGCGAGGGGGGTCGTACCCGCCCCCCCCCCCCCCTCGGCCGGGGCGTAGGTAGAAAACCAATAGGTCCGGCGAGGGTTAAAACCACTTGGTGCGACCGGAGAAACCAAGCGACAAGCAGCTTAACGAACAACTTCCTACGAGTGCTGAAAAGAGCACTGGAAAGACTATTACAGATAAAAAAGACGTCGATCGCTGGTTTCAGCGCACCAAGACCAAAGCTTTCGGCTTATGAAAAGCGAAAACCATGCTTGGCAAAATGTGTTACTATCCACATAATTCATAATAACAGCGCAGTGTCTTTGAAGATGACTCATATTTACCATAAAATCGCTCGACCTCACGGGTCTAAATTACATAGACCGGGAATCACACGTTTACATAGAATTTTTTTTAACATAAATCGGTTCTAAGTTTTATCAGCTATCACTTAGTCGAAGCTCTTTCAACCATACCTTGCGCTACACCTCAAAGTATAATACATAACAGGTCAATAAGTACACAACAACAACGAATGACTCAGCTAGCCCCTGGAGCGACTAACCGACCGACTCAGTAAGCCTCGCACCACCCTGTCTGCCAGAGTCCGTCCGACGGGTATCCATCGTCCACCTGCGGGGGATAGTATCCGGGCACCACGTCCACCAGGAGCTCCCTCACCCTGTCCTGCATCCTCTGCAGCACGTCCGGCAGCTGCTCGGCCAGGTCCTGGCGCTCCTCGGGGTCGGCAGTGATGTTGAAGAGGTGTGCCGGGAGAGTGGGCTCGCCGTGCTGGTCGGTGAGGTGGTCGGACATGTCCAGCTCCCTGACGTCCTGGACGTACTCCGGATCAAACAGGTCCGGGAGGGTCACGTTGTTGGAGTCCGGCACCGGGTACCAGTCGCTGTTCTGGCCGGGCCATCCCCAGACCAGCTTCATGTCGCCCTGGCGCAGCGCGGCGCTGAAGCCCACCGGGAACGTGTCCATGTTGTAGACGAACTCGTCGCGCGCGCTCGGGGACCCGGTCGACAGCGTCTCCCACTGGTCCACACCGTCCAGGCCGAGGTCCGAGGTGTCGACACCGGCCAGCCGGAGGAAGGTGGGCGCCCAGTCGGTCATGTGGATCATCTCGTTGCTGACGTAGCCCGTCTTCTGCAGCAGGGGGGACAGAACAAACGCCGGCGTGCGGGTGCCGCCCTCCCAGAGCGTTCCCTTGGCGCCGCGCAGAGGCCAGCTGTTACCAGCCGCCGTCAACATGCCACCGTTGTCGCTGACGAACGCGATCACAGAGTTCTCGTAGAGGCCGGACGCCTTGAGCGACTCGACGACCCGCGCGACCGCGATGTCGAGCGCGGTCACCATGCCGCTGAATGTGCGACGAAGGTCGTTGGGGATGTTGGGGTAGAGCTCTTCGAGCTCCTCCGGAGCCTGGACGGGCTGGTGGGTAGCCGTGAACGGCAGATACAGGAACAGCGGCTTGGACTTGTCGTGTTCGGTGATGATGCGTTCGGCGCGCGAGGCGAACAGCTCCGTGGAGTAGATGCCACTCTGGTTCCAGTCCGGCTCCATGTTCAGTCTCAGGTCGAGGCTGTTGTTCAGGTCGTGTGTGAAGTGGTCTTCCTGGCCATTCCACAAGCCGTAGAAGGTGTCGAAGCCGCGGTTTTGGGGGAGAAACTCGGGCGCACAGAAGCCCAGGTGCCACTTGCCGACGATGTGTGTGCTGTAGCCGACAGAGCGGAGCAGTTCGGGCAGCAGTAGAGTGAAGTTCACACTGAGACCGATTGGCTGCCGGGGCAGAATGGCGCCGCGCTGCAACACGACGTCAGGTCACAAACACAGCACATGACCTAGACATACACTGTAAAGGACCGGCGACCCTGGCTCCCAGTGCCGGTCTTATTCAGGTGAAGATGAAGACTGAGACATAGGCACGCGATTGATCTGAGTAGCCGTGCCCGTTGACTGACCTGGGTGGTGAGCCTACTGGATGACCTGGGTGGTTGATCTGAGCCTACTAACTGACCTGGTAGTGACCTCAGCCCTTTGACTGACTTGGGTAGTAACCTGACCTACTGACTGACCAGGGGTCTCCTTTTTGATCACATTGAATGACCTGGATGGTGACCTCACCCCTTTGTCTGACCTGAGCGGTGACCTAAGCCCACTAACTGACCCGAGTGGTGACCTGACCCAGTGACCCAGCCACTGACCTGGGTACCCATCCTGTACGGGTATCGTCCGGTGAGCAGGGCGGTACGGGACGGCGTGCACAGGGGCATCACATAGCTCTGCTCCAGAAGGACGCCCTCTCCGGCCAACTTGGCCAGGTTGGGCGTCAGGATGTCCGGGTTGTGCCACGAGATGTCGTTGAAACCTGCCGGGAGCCAGGGAAGAGTGAGCGGTAGGGTGGTCCATTTTGCAAAAGTTTCTAGGATCTTTCGGGCCGGGTCGGAATTCTTGTCGATGCCATGATACAAGGTTGTGTGCAAAATTTTATTCCGATCGGATAATTTTATCCCGTCCCGCAAAGCGACCAAAGTTTTCCCTATGTTATCAACCAGTATAGCGCCTTTTGGGGCGACTAACGGAGCGAGCGAGAGGGTGAGCCTTGCACGTGCGAAATTTCGAGGGGGTACCTCCAGCTGACTTGTGCACGGCACCCTACTAACCGGTCTCTAGCGATGTGCCAAATTTGAGCACAATCGGCCCAGCCGTTCTCGAGATCTGGAAGCGGCACCCTGCACATGCGCACGTGCAAAATGGGTCCCAACTGACTTTTGCACGGCACCCTACTAACCGGTCCCTAACCATGTACCAAATTTGAGCGCCATCGGTCCAGCCGTTCTCGAGATCTGGAAACGACCCCTGCACGTGCGCACGTGCAGCAGCACCCCAACTCTGGCACATGGATATGCAGTGCCTAGTGGGTGCCTACCTACATGCCAACTTTCAGCGCAATCGGCCAAGTAGTTACCGAGATATTGCAACAATTACAAAAGTGACACCTCTTCGTTTTGCACGTGGCACGTGCATAAGGGGTCACCCACATGCATCGGGAATAGTCCAATACTTGGTAGAAGGAATGAAGCTACCCCACAAAAATTACCGCATGTAAATCGGTCAAGTGGTTGCTGAGATATAAGCCTCGCAAAAGCGTGACCACGGCCGGCCGGCCGGCCGGCCGCTCATACTCAGAAATTTCCGTTATTCTACGTAAGACTCCGCTCGCTTCGCTCGCTCCGTAATAACGGGATGAGCGATAATACGAATTTTCGCACTCAGTCCACATTTTTCGCTCAATACGCACTGGCAGTCATTAAAAAAGAACAGCAAAGGAGAGAAACACATCAGAGTGGAATGGGCATCCGTGAAAATAGCATATCTGGTATAGATAAAAGAACAAAATCCACCGTGCATGCCATCATGTACTATTGGTCTCAATATAAGGGCCCAGGCGACCTGTAGTTTTAATGCGGTGAATACCCTTACCCTCCCCACAGGTCGGGCCGAGTGCATCCCTCCTCCCACCCAGCGCAACCCCCACTCGAATTGTGGCGAGGGTGAGGGTATTCACCGCATCCGAACTACAGGTCGCCTGGGCCCCTATCTTGAGACCAATAGCACCAATAATATCCCTCTCGGATGCAACGCCCGGTGCAGTGGTGCTCCTCGACCTGAAGGAAGTGCTTTCACTATTCCTTGCCGTGCGCGATGGCGCTAAAAATTTCCCACTGGTGAGGGCAACAGTGCAATACCCAGCTCTCGCAAAGTCGTTCACCACCCGTATATGTGCCGGTCGCCGATGAGCAGTTGTCAAGTCGTCATTGTCTGACCACTCGGCGGAGTCGACTTTGAGGAAATCGTGGCTGGCCCCGAGGGATGTACCGACCGACAGATGCAAACGACGCCAGCGAGCGCTGCCCCACTGCGTCGAGGGCGACTTTGGCGCGGCAGGGTTCTTCTCTCTCAGCCGCTGCTGCATGGAGGTGGCGATCGCCTCTTTTCCTCGACCGTCGTCCCGTCGTTGAAGAAGGAGAGACCGATGGCCTTGCCCATCACCTTGCCCGGTTACCGTCCGATATCTCTGTGGTAAGCGGTAGGAGCCTTTGCGGAGGGCGATGTCAGTTCACGATGCTGAGGTCGATCAGTGGGCAGACAGCCACGGTGCTACTTACCTTGTGACGATGAAGGTGGTGAACCGGACCATTGTACTCTTCTCGTGCTCGGTGAGCGCAAGCTGAGGCTGACAGAAGAGTGTTCTTGGCTTGAAGAGATCTTACGTGTTGATCAACTTTGCCATCCAACGAGCGCGTTGTAGGGCAACCGGTTTCAGGATGCTCGCTTCCAAGTCACCGTCCATCACGGCGGTGGTGAAGTACACCACATTGCGGTAGTCATCACGGGGCCGCTGCTTCATCAGCAACGCGCGTCAGGTGACGATCATCTTGTCGGCGAAGTCAATGAAGTCATTGAGCGGTTTGAACGACACTCGGTCCGTGAGCTGCCACCACTTTACAAACCGCTTGAAGGACGGGATCTCGGGAGTCCCGGGCCGGAAGGCGGATGGTGTGAAAAGTGAAAAGATGCGTCATGCATTTCGTAAGAGGCTGTTTCACCCAGCAAGGATTTGCTTCTGGCTGCCAAAACAAGCCACATTTCGGTGATTGAGCGTGTGCCTTTTGCAGCTTCAGCGGCCATCCCAGACGCAGGCAAATTCATAACTAGCGTAATGCATTCGCACCTCCTGGCATACAGGGCCTTGCTCCTGGCACTGAGAACAGGAACTGCAACAGGAACTGTGGATTATCGTTCCTGCCTGTGGCTGATAGGAAGACTAGATCTATCATTGAGAAGGCTAGAGAGAGTTGGTGCGTTGAGCATGCAAGCTCTTTGGTAGATAGCCGCTGGCGCGACTGGGCAATGTTGAAAGACAAGTATTCGCCCTATACTGAAGGCTGGTACATATAATGGAAACTTTGACCGCTTTGCGGGACGGGATAAAATCATCCAATCTTAATGAAATTTTGCACAGGAGCTTGTGCTATAGTATCGACAAGAATTCCGACCCGGCCCGATGAATCTGACGAACTTTATTTTTTACCATGTAAATGTGGACCACCCTAGTGAGCGGCGACTGAGAGGGAATCGGTCGTCACATTTGTGAGCATCTTATTTATAAGGTCAGCGACGTGACAGCGAAACGGGCAATCAATCAAACGACCTTTTCATTCAAGCAGAAAGCAGGAAAATAGCCTTTAATCCCTGAGAAATACGCGGACAGTTAATACGTGCATTGGAAATAGTGATAACAAATATAGTTATCTCTTCCTCTCTCTCTCTTTCTCTCTCTCTCTCTCTCTCTCTCTCTCTCTCTCTCTCTCTCTCTCTCTCTCTTTCCCCCCCTCTCTCCTACCTGTCTCGTATCTCGCTGTACTTACCCAAATCATCCGCAAGAATGAAGACGATGTTGGGCTGGTCTGTCTGGGCGGTGGGCGCCGCAGCGGCCACAGCAGTCAGCACGAGAAGCACAGCCGCACGGGGGGACTCCATGGTGGAACCGTGCCCCCTCCAGGCAGCCGGCCGCTCTTATACCCGCCGATAAGGGAAGCACTCGAAGAACGGCAACGTAATAGGCGACGATGGTTTTGCGTCAGTAGTAGCAGCCGTTTCACCGTGATGTGCAGTCTTCACCTATGTGAGCGAGGGCCGGCGTATTCGATAATAACACCCGGTTGAGGGTTGATAGGTGTGTTAGGTAGGTATATGTATTAAGTGAAAGATCAGTGATGAGGTCAGGTAATTAGGTGTTAATTGAGTATTGTATTGTGCTGAATTGTATTAGGTAAGGGATCTCGACTTGAAACAAGTGCCTAGAAAATCGCAAGCTGGAGATCACTGCGGCATTCCACAAGTCACATTATATATATATATATATATATATATATATATATATATATATATATATATATATATATACATATATATACCTATGGCCGTTCTATACTTTAATTATGTGTCGCTACGTTATAAAAAAAAACATTCTGTGATAAATATAGGAACTGTTCTCAACCATAAGGACGTTCGCTAGGATCATCCCGTGCTCTCCCATATGTCCAATCTCTGGTGCCTATAAGGCCGTACTCTACTATAAGCACGTTCTCTGATATAATGTCCTCCTCTGCCATACTTTTACGTCCGTTCTCTGATTTAACCCTATTCCTGGCGGGCTCCGCCGGGACAAGAAACTGGCGGGGGGGGGGGGCCGATTCGGCCCCCCCCCCTGAGATCTCGAGAACGAAGCAAGATAGCGACAAGCGGTAAACGGCATCGGATACGCACGGCTAAGATCTACAATTTTTACTAAGGTCATTTTCAGGTCAGGTCAAAGATGACGTCACAGGGGTCGAAAAAGTCAAAATGGCGGCACTAGATATGGAGAGAGTTTTTCTCGAATAACTTTCGAATTAGTCAAGATATGAACAAACTAAGGGCATCATCGTGATCCTCTCGTCAATCCGCATCGAATGATATATATGTTGACCTCGAAAGGTCAAGGTCAAAGGTTGACCTCAGGTCACGTGACCTCGAGGTCATCATGTATATCATTCGATGCGTCTTGACGAGCTGAACACAATGAGACCATCCACGCGTCTGTATCTTGTTCCTGTACGGAGTTATTGGCCAAAAACCTTTGGTGACCTTTGATGACGTCACATGACCTCACAGCTGCCCAACAGCAAAACAGACCTCAAGGTAGTGAAGGTTGATCGTATATGAAGTCATGTATGGTATATGGGGCCATTCCGACCCGTTTTAGTGGTAAAAACAGGGAGTTGATTTTTCCCCCATTGACTTATAATGGGGAGGTCGCGAAATTGACCTGACCTTAGGTCACCGATATCAAAATTCCGAGATATACAAATTGCACATACTGGTACCCTAACTAAACCCTGAAGAGAAGAAATTGATCGGTCAAAAACTCTAGCTCTGGCGTGATTGCAAACTTTTCTGAGGTAGCGTCACCAAACCGCCTCTGGTGACCTGACCTGAGGTCAGATCAACTCAAAATTTTCAGACATGTTGCGTAGAAGCCTTTTAGGAAAAGTCAGAAAATTTGAGCTTCCTAGCTCAACGCGTTTGGGAGATATAACCAAAAAACCTCAGGGGGGGGCTCCTGAGGCCCCCCCCCGCCAGGAATAGGGTTAATACGATGTTTTGCCATACGACAGCTTTCCGGTATAATTCCATGCTCTGTTATATGGGCACTGTTATATAGTCGTTCTCTGATATCATACCGTTCTAAGATATAACGCCGTGCTCTGCCATATGGCCGTTCTCTGATGAAATGCCGTGCCGTACCATATGTATGGTCGTTCTCGGGTATAATGCCGTGCTCTGCCTAGCGTATAACCGTTCTCTGATAAAAAATCGCAGCCTCGTGACGCCCTCAGTGCCAAGTCAGAGACCTCTTGCACCAACATACCGTGCTAGTTAGAAAGACAAACTCTTTTCGTACTTATGTATGTATATTACGACACTATGGGCGCCTGTAGACGAATTTTTCGTCAACAAACTTTCTAAGCAAGTTGAGTTATCGCGCATGAAAGCCAATAATCAACCTACTCAGAAAGACCTACCGAATCGAATGATAGGTAAGTAATGACCTTTAACCAATTTGGTAAGCTGAACGGGTTTGACCTGACCTTGAGCTGACATAAACAGACACCATTACCTGACCTTTCCCAGACAAAAATTACTTACAGGTATCCTTTGACACGCCCGTAGCGACAAACAAACGAGATGAAACAAAAATTGTGGTTCTGCGATCACTATTTGCAGAGTTATTTTAAAAGTCTGTTGGCGAACGGGTTTGGTGGACGGCATCCTGATCCTTTCCTTTCTTGGAATATAGACCAGTATAACGCCTTTTGGGGCGACTAACGGAGCGAGCGAGAGGGTGGGCCTTGCACGTGCGAAATTGCGAGGGGGTACCTCCAACTGACTTGTGCACGGCACCCTACTAACCGGTCTCTAGCGACGTGCCAAATTTGGGCACAATCGGACCAGCCGTCCTCGAGATCTGGAAGCGGCACCCTGCCCTTGCGCACGTGCAAAATGGGTCCCAACTGACTTGTGCACGGCACCCTACTAACCGGTCCCTAACTGTGTACCAAATTTGAGCGTAATTGGTCTAGCCGTTCTCGAGATCTGGAAACGACCCCTGCACGTGCGCACGTGCAGCAGCGCCCCAACTCTGGCACATGGATATGCAGTGCCTAGTGGGTGCCTACCTACATGCCAACTTTCAGCGCAATCGGCCAAGTAGTTACCGAGATATTGCAACAATTACAAAACGGACACCTCTTCGTTTTGCACGTGGCACGTGCATAAGGGGTCACCCACATGCATCAGGAATAGTCCAATACTTAGTAGAAGGAATGAAGCTACCCTACAAAAATTACCGCGTGTAAATCGGTCAAGTGGTTGCTGAGATATAAGCCTCGCAAAAGCGTGACCACAGCCGGCCGCTCATACTCAGAAATTTCCGTTAATCTAAGGGAAGACTACGCTCGCTTCGCTCGCTCCGTAATAAAAACAAATCAATGTTATTTATTTACATTATATAACAAATATTGTTATTTTAGCTTTCGTGGTAGTGCACATAGGTACACAGGTGTGTGCGACGTGCGTGGAGGGGGAGGGGGGATAGTCAGCAGCCATTCAGCCCGTGCCCAGGGTCTCCTGCACGTAAGCATGTGCAGAGCTCGCTATTGTGATCACTCGCTGTTGGCTCAAAAGGCGATTTATGGTCGGATAAGTGTCAATATATTTGCCTAATGCCAGCGATACACGTTTATTTGTCAGTACCTACTTCCATTTGTTGTTTAAATCAAAATATCACGCACAATCAATATAGTACCCAGTTGGCTACAATAAAATAACGTGAGTGCCGGTGACGCATTTACAACTTCGCTGCAAAACAACACCCGCATCGCTGTGTCATGGTGAACAAGGCCGCTGGGCTCTGTGAGACGCAGAGGGAGAGGGAGAGAGAGTAGTTACCGAGAACCACAGAGAGAGCCGGTCTGTTGATAGCCGCCCACTCTCGGCCTCTGCCCACGAGACGCACGAGGCGCTATCAGACCCCCCCCCCTCCTCAGCAAGTATAGGCTAGTCATAACGACGCTGCTTACTTCCGTGTCTAACGCTTTGGAGACTGTGTGCCTTTGGTAAAACTCAGCGAATTATGGAACTAGGCGTTGCGGATGAGGGTATGGCGGGATTAGGGGTAAGATAGTACCTATAGGTGTTAACAAAAATCAGCTTAAAGTTCGTAAGATAACTTCGAAAGTAAGAACTCATAATTTCGCACGGCTTTATTCTTGTTCATAGCGTTTGAGAAGGTAGGTAGGTACTCGTAGGTATGCATATCTGTCTTCATTGCAAATATTGATTGCAAAACCCTCTGCTAGAAATGGTGGAACGTCAAAAACGCGCGCCAGTTCTGTTGAAGATGAGCTAAATAAAAACCAGTGCTTACTGATAAAACAAAAATTAACAAAATGTGCACTTTCATGTAGTTTGGACACCATAGCAATATTATACTTGTATATCTAACCCTCGCATGTGTAGGGGGGGGGGGGGGTAGGATGGACCCCTATGGTTTTTTCGCGAATAACTCGCCCAAAAAGCGGCCGATCGCGACGAAACTTTCAGTACCCTCTAGTTGATCAATTTAACACCTTCTTTGAAAATTTCATGACCCTGACCCAAGTGACCTTTGACCTGTGGCTGTGACCTATTTCTCGAGGCCATGTTTGGCCGGAATCGCGATTCGGCGTATGTCGGCTCGCATTAGCCGCGCGTTTGCAAGCTTCTCGTGGTTTCAAACGGTCAAACATGAGATTTGATGGTGCTCCCATGCATTTGAGTGGATGTCAAGGTGACCTGAAGGTCAGATCAGGTCGATTTGACCTTTGGTGACCTCAGTTCACTTTTTCGAGCTGTACATGTTTCTAGGCTAGTTTCTGGAGCTGAATTCGAATTAACCCGCGCCCTACTGGGGGGGGGGGGTGTTTGAACACCCCCCCCCTGTGGTTTTTCGCGAATATCTCAAAAACGGCGGCGCGGAGCGCCGCCGTTTTTGGTATACCTTATCATACATCAATTCTACACATGTTGTAAAAATTTCAGACCAAGGTCATTCAAGGTCAGGTCACCAGGTCACTTGAAGTGACCTCACCTCATAAAAAGTTTCAATGTCTGTCATAGCTACACCGAGTGACCGATTGCTTTGAAACTTTCAGCGATTGCTAAGAGCAATAGCATGTACAAAATGTTTATCTCAGAATTTTGATATCGATGACCTAAGGTCAGGTCAATTTTGCGACCTCCCCATTATAAGTCAATGGGAGAAAATTCAAATGCGCCTCTTTTGGACGAAAGACATTATAAACACTCCCAAACACTGAATTACAAGTGGTTTAGACACACTGAACATGAAAATGGTGTCCGTGACCCCTGTTTATGCCCTGAGGTCATCTAAGGTCACGAATAGTATCTAACAGTTTTTCGCAAATAACTTTTGATAGAGGCATGCTAGAGCGATGAAAACGCCTTAGATGTGCTCAGCTCGACGATACGGATCGACTGATATCGTACAAGGCTTGAGTCAAAAGTTATTGCAGAA